TCTTCAAACTCCTCAAGGCCTCCGAGCAATTCTTCTGATTAGAGGAGGCACATACAGCTTTCGAGCAGCTCAAGTTGTTTCTAACGAAGCCTCTGATCATGACGGCGCATCGACCAGACACATCGCCACCACTTCTCACGTCGTTAGCACAGCTATCATCATCGAGCGTGAGGAAGCCGGACATGCCTACAAGGTACAATGTTCAGTCTACTTCATCAGCGAGGTCCTTAATGAGTCTAAAACTCGTTATCCTCAAGTTCAGAAACTGCTATACGCCATTCTGATCACGTCACGCAAGCTCTGCCATTACTTCAAGTACTACAAGATCGCCATGGTCACCAAGTTCCCTCTAGGGGACATCCTTTGTAACAAAGAGGCCAATGGCCGCATCATCAAGTGAGCTGTCGAGCTCGACACGTACTCCATCGAATTCAGAAGTAGGCCTACCATCAAGTCATAGGCGCTCGCTGACTTCGTTGCTGAGTGGACTGAGATCCAAGAGCCCATCCCCGCTACTTGCCCCGAGCACTGGGTGATGTACTTCGACGACGCCCTCAACATCAACGGTGCTGGTGCTGGCATTTTATTCATTACGCTGAGCAAGGACAAGCTCCGCTACGTTCTCCGAATTCATTTTCTAGCCTCCAATAACGCCGCTGAATATGAAGCGTGTCTCCACGGACTCTGTGTAGCCATCGAGCTCGGCGTCAAACGCCTCATGGTATACGAAGACTCCGTGCTGGTCATCAACCAGCTCAACAAAGATTGGTCCTACTCCAGTGAGAAGATAGACGCATATTGCGCAAAAATCAGAAAACTCGAGGGGAAGTTCTACGGTATTGAGTACCACCACATGGTATGAGATCAAAATCAGCTCGCCGACCACCTATCTAAGATAGGATCTTCTCACGCGCGTGATTCCGCCTGGAGTCTTCGTTCAAGACCTCTTTATGCCGTCCATTAAGGAAGAGAAAGAAGTTCAAGAAGTCCCCCCCCCCGCCAAGCAGCTGGTACTTACAGTACCTTCGTCGGCCGTCGATTGGAGGGAACAGTTCATCAAGTACCTCACCAGTGCCGACGTACCAGCCGACAAAACTGAAAGTGAACGCCTAATCCGTCGCAGCAAGCATTACGTGCTGGTAGACGGGAACTTGATGAGGAAAAGTGCCAAGGAAGGGATACTGCGCCAATTGGAGAAATGTATTAGAATCTATATGACTATCCTCTTCTCCAACATAGCAAATGTATCATTGTAATGTGCATGATCATTTCATCCCTTACTAGTATGTGGTTAGTGCATATAGTACATGCTTATAGGATCATACGTGACAAATGAAAATCTTTAAAATTCATAGCCTACCACTATTGCTTGAATGATTATTTGAATCTAGTGGTAGTGTATGAGTTTGTTCATGAGCTAGTGAACCCAAGTACTTGATCTAATTTGGATTGATAACAAGTGATAAGTACAACCTCGATAAGATAACCGCTTAATGTGTGTGAAGAAGCTTAGAGAGGGTTCAAACCAGACTTGGAAGCTTAGGCAAATCAACCTAGCTCAAGTAAACAAAAGAAGCTCATGATAAGTGACAAGTGTTCAAGGAATGATTATAATTGACAAATCCTACAAGTGGTTCCATGATTATTCCTACACGTGGTATATCTAGATTATCACATTGTTACAAGTGGTATTCATACAAGTGATACCTAGCACATCAAATGGTGGTTCCACAAGTAATACTCAACTTTAAGTGATCATTAAGTGAAGAAAGTTTCCTCACTAACAAGAACTCAAGTTTATCAAATGGATGACCCATGCTATGACATAGAGGGAGGTGCCCCACCGATTGGTATCAAGGTCAAAGATCCTACATGAGTGATCACAAGGGCTACAAGTGGTGCCATTCCAATATATTTAGAAGTATCCATAAAAATGCAAGATTCAAGTGTCAACCATCTTCCCCAATGCAATCCTTTGTATCAATAAGAAGCACATCTTTTATGGAAATTGATGACAAAGGGGGAGAAGTTGGAACAAAGATATGATATGTAATTGCATCATGGGGAGAGGTAGAAGTTGGACATGGACAAAGAGGGAGCAACATTGAAGAAAGGAGAAGGATAAAAATTTTGGACAAGAAAATCACACAAGTATGTCGAGGAGGACGCGGCCATCGCGCACGACCCAGGCGAGCGAGACGGCCCATGCCACGGGGGTGGATGCGTGGGGCGGGAGCGCCAGGTGGAAGTCGTTGTGGTCGTGGAAGCCAAGGAGTGGCGCGGGGTGGAGCGAGCGGAATCGGTGGAGGAACGCGCGGTCGGCGACGAGGCGGCGAAAGGGGACGTAGGCGGCCACGGTGCGAACGAGGTCGGCCGGCACCGGGAGACGGAGGAAGATGTCCGACAGGAGGTCATCGGTGAGCAGCGCTGGCGAGGCCATGTCACAGCCGGCGAGAGAGAGGGGACTTAGGGTTGGGGGTTGCTGGGAATTGGGATCGCCGGTCAAATTTATGTGCTGGTCCGTTGGTCCGAATAGTTAATAGTTCAACGATGGCGCGGTTGGTGGTAGTGAATTGTCGAAAGGGATTGAGAGGACTATTTGAGCCAGGTCAAATCTCAGCCCACCTGATCTCACTCGACTCGACCTGCCCTCTTCTTCTGGACTGAATGGGCCCAATGGATTTTGGTCCATATCTTACGAGGGTCTATCCCTGATTGAAAGCACTTTTGGGCCTTTTTCTGATCTGGTTTTAGCCTAAAAATGCTCAAGACTTGACTAGCACTTTGAGTGAAGACTAGCTCTAAGAATTATGTAACAATCGTGCTATGTGTTCTAATACGTCTTGGAAATAGACCTTGTATCTTGGTTAAACGTGTTGGTCAAACTATGGTCTTATGTTGGAGTTAGATTGGGAACATGATCGCATGTTGAATTTGGATTAGAAACATGTGGACATTAATAGTGATATGTAGACCAGGAGAGTAGTGATGTGCATGGAATCAAGAAATGACTCGAATGAGAGGTGCATTAAATTTTTCATTAATATAGACAATACTCAAAAGCAACATTATTCATACGAGCAAAAAGGTATTATTATTTGGATACTACTATATTATATCTTCTCGTATTGTACATGGGCTACAATGCTTAGTACAAGTTATTAGTTGTATGACTAGACTAGAGTTTGTGTGTATCTACAGAGTTAGGGTGACGTGGATAGTAGTGGCATCAGATAGCAGACTATTGTTAATGCGTGTTAGTGGGGGTTCACACTACTTTATATTTGTGCTTGCAGGCTGCAAATGATTTGCTTGAACGCCCCTGTGATGCGTCACGCATGTGTACGTGTAAGATTATACAGCCTATTCGCTTGTTGATTTGAGCCAGAATTTATCAGTCAGTGTTCTTCTCTCGTCGATCAGACTTATAAATCTAGAAACCGATCAGCGAACGGGCTGAACAAAAGAAAACCCCGCAACGGATGGCAATAATGCACACAGGCAGAGGCAGCACCACGGACGGTGCACGGGTGGGATTGCCGTCCCTTTCCGCCCGCACTTGCTTGGGGAGGCACGACACCCCTTGCTTCGTGTATTATATACTCACTTGCCCACCATTACCGTGTGAAAGCAAACAACGTCACGAGTTAAAAGAAAACGCGAGCAACAGCACCGTGACTGCTTGATTGTTTTTAACCATTGCTACGGGTACTTGTAGCTACACATCTTGCCACTCAAAATGCAGGCACTAAGTTAATCAGGCTATTAAAAAAATGCTAGTCCCTCTATTCTACTAATTTTTGTCCATGACGTCAGGAAAATATATTCCACAATGCATGCCCATTGACAATATCAAGAGTGTAGCTATTGATGCTTCCACTCTGTCCCTGATTAAATGATTTGAAATAAGAGAAGAAAGAGAACAAGAGAAGTGGCGGTATCTATTAAAGGTATAGATGACCATTTCACTTTAATCTTTTTTTTGGGAAAATATGTTCTTGGTTAGGTTGATCATGTGTTAGACAAACATTGCAAAACCAATGGAATATCATTTTGCAATAAAGTTTCACTCTGAATTAGTATGAAGTCACTTTATATTCATCGTAAGTCAAAATTTCTAACTTGGATTCAAAATAGTAAAAGTATATCAAATCTACATGTTCAAAAGGCGCATTATCTGATCTCATTGAAAATTTAGTTAACTGATTTGATGTTACAAGCTTGGTAAAAAAAGGGACTTGGATCACGTTTAAAGTGTAGTAAAAGTAAAATCTGAAAAAGGACCTCCGTGCTGTACATTCTATTATGGGCATCCAGTTTGGCATTGCTAATTTTTATTTTTTTCTGCTTGCCTAAAATGCAAAGCATGAGCGCCGGCCGAATATAGCGTCACCACAGAAACCAAAACCGGCCGAATTTTAGCTGATGCAAGTTTTCAGGTACACGTTTGGTGCCCCCGAAGCGACGGCTGGTCGGCTGCCGCCTCCGCCTGTCCGTCGTGGGGCGTGGGCCGTGGAGGCGTGTCCGCAGCAGTGGATAGGAACGCAGCCACCTACTCCTGCTGACACATGGCCCCCACCGACCCGCCCACCAGTCTGGCGGCCCGTCCCAACCACCTCTAAACTACTCCGATCACGCGCGCGCGCGCGTTATTATTGCCACCGGCGTTCCCACGGGTAATCGCCCGTTAACCAGCACCTCCGTCCCTTTTACCTGTTTTTCCAATACATAACTGATAGATGGGCCCGGCAAACAAACCGCGTACCTGGTCCTCGCCATGGACCCACCCGTCGGTGGGTGAGGTCGTTTGGAAGCTGGTGCGTCTTGTATGTCGAAGCGCCCCCCAAGATTTACCGACCCAAATGTGCGCTTCCCTCCCTCTCGTAATTGAAGGCGATTTATTAGACGTTAAAAAGCCGACGCGATACGGAACCCCGCAACTAAGCGGAAAGCTTCAAAGGGAGGGAGGGGGAGCCTGAGCAAGAGAGGAGGTGGAGGAAATGGCCGCGGCGGCGGCGGCGGAGGAGGTGTCGACGGCGGCGAGGACTAGTAGCAGCCTGGCGGCGGAGGAGGGGGAGCGGCGGGGCGAGAGCGAGAGCGAGGGGGAGGAGCTGGGGGTGGCGGCTGTGCTGGACTTCGACATGCTGTGCGCGTCCGTCGCGCTGTCGGCGGAGAGGAGGAAGGCCGCCGCGGCGCCGGCGGGTGCGGCCGGCGACTGCAGCGGCGGCGGAGGCGGAGGGGTGCAGAGGATGTGGGAGGGCGACGTCGTGCTGGATTGCCTGGAGGACCGGCGAATCGCGCTCGAGGCGTCCTGGTAGGTGGAACTAACCTCTTCTTCCCCGTCGTTTCATGCAGCTGTAACGGTAATGGTTCTGGTTGTGGTTGGGTGTGTGGTTGAGAGGATCTTGTCGTGTTGGTTGAGGGGGCAGAGCTCGGGCGTTTCATTGGAGGTGGATTCCTCTTTTCCTAACGGATGCACTGATTTCGGTGCGGATTTGGGAACAAAGGAGGCTGTTCTTCATCCGGAGTTTTAGAAATGGAGAAATACTGTTTGAAATGGCAACTTTGCTTAGTAGTAATTTGGGCGAGGCTTTCATGCAGAGGAGGCAGCTCCTCCACTGAGATTTGTCAGAATTATTTGCTCAAACTTTAAGCTTTCTCTTCAAATGGCATCCGCCAGAATTTAGTGACGAATTGGACTTATGACAATTCTATAGCTGAGTCGTCAATGCAAAATCTTCATATTTTAAAATGAATTGTTACCATTACCAACAGGGAACATTCCCCAAAATGATGTCGTAGCCTCTGCTTTTATGCTATTCTAGTGTTTCTGCAAAAATATTCCACCTTTCTTTGTTATAGAACATTTTTCTTCGTCAACTATGATTAAACTTTGCTGTGATTCGTTTTAAAGTTGTTTGCTTGCAACTGTTTGCAGCTGCCCATGCTATCGGTTTGGTAAGAACATGCGGAGAGCCAATCTCGGATCTTGCTTCCTTCAGGTACAGATAACCCATTCACCAGAGAATGAGCATATTTCATCCATTTTCTGCTGTTACTTTGGTGTCCAAAAAAGTATAGTCTGTAATTTTGTATAGGTATGTTATATGTAAGCTGCAAGTGATTATGTTTATTGTCGTGTTCTTGATAAGGCGTGAAATGCAAGCCGCCACCATGCTATTTGGACAACAATAGGAAAGCAACCATTTTCTCAGCCTTGTGCTTATACTATTATACAATGTAGTGGCTGATGCGCAGCTCGTTTGAATTGACTTGGCGATGTGAACAGCATTTTGGATAATCCCTTATTCCTGTGGCATGTCTTAGACCTGGTCTAGCTGAATGGCCTGTCTTTTTTATTTCCTGCTGCATAAAATGTGCGCCTGTCATTCTAAATATTCTATGTTGGAGGGAATCAGACTGCACGTTGGACTGACAGATTGCTGCCAGTATATTTTACTCATTTTAACCACTCTGTCAGCCTTGAAAGACCAACTTGTTTTTATCTTTAGCTCAGTCAGTGCTTTCACAAACGTGTTGTTGGGTTTTCTCATCTCATATTATTTAGCATCAATTATGTGCAATATTATATTGAATTATATGGTCAGTTTGTTATCCTTAACAAAGTGATGAAAGGAGATTATACTCTTCTTCAACATATCTACTTTCATATATATTAAGGGTGCTGATGATTCTCGCCTAAATTGGATGGCTCTAACCTCTCTGTCTGCTATATACATCCATAGTTGTGGTGTTGTGACAATCTCGTTGCCATTGATTTTAAGTTTTCCTTTTTATTACAAGTTTATTTGAGTGTAGCTTCATCTTATGTTGTTAATTTTAATGTCTTACTCTTATTCACCTTGCTGATACTAGATGAAATTTCTTTCAGGGAATGGTTTACTGCATTCTGTTAGCTGCTGTCCTGATCAGCCTAATTGCCTTTTCTGTAACAAGGCATCATATATATTTATATGTGGGACTTGGCTCTGTCCTCTTGATAGCGATCTATACTGGTTATTTCCGGAGAAGAATAAGGAAGCAATTCAACATTCGGGCAAGTATTTCTTGGGATAGCTATTTTCAGATATAGTATTCAGAAAGCTTCCTGTTTACTGCAAGAGCCAAGATGTAGCAATTATTGCAGTTGCTTCAGTGCTCATCTTTTCTAGAATTGTACCATCCTTGATGTCCTTGTGCAATTGCTGTACCATTTTGCAAAGCTAAAAGCCTAAAATGAAAGTAACTGAAACTTGGAGGTATATCGATGGCCACGTATAATCAAGGTCATACCTATCAACCCAAGTATGATGTCAACGCCGGAGAAATATTAGTACATGTACTTTAATTCTAGAACTGCAAACATAAATTTTTTAGGGAGATGCCAATCTTCATTCTGAAGAAGCTTACTATTCACCCTTTTTGCACTTATTACAGGGTACTGAGAGCAATCTTGACGATTGTGTTCTCCATCTCATATGTCCTTGCTGCACGCTGTGCCAGGTTATATCTACAAAAGCCCATCTGCATCCCAATATTACTATCTTATTTTTGACTATTGTAAACTCACATGTAATGTCTTCTGAATTCAGGAGGCTAGAACTTTGGAGATGAACAATGTCCAGTGTGGTGTCTGGCATGGACGAGGTGATACCATTTGCTTAGGGAGCAACGGTGAAGGAAACAAGGCTTTCGCTGCCCTGAACAAGGCCTCTCTTGTGCCCATAAAGTCCCCAGGGTTGTGTGGCATGGATAGAACGTCAAATGCTGCTGACGAGCATGAGCCACTTGTTCCACCAGACCAACTGGAGCATGTTTAAGTATTCTGTATCGCTACAACCTCTGCACTTTCCCAGAAGGGCTTGGACAGCGCTGAGAAAAAAAAAATCATGGGTACTTCAATTGCCTGCCGGCTTATTAGGTGCCTGCATCCATTGATCCCAAGAACTGGACTTTGCAGCAACCATACATGGGTGATGATGGGCGGAATCGGCCTGCTGCCGCTGTTGTAAAATTCAGTGATAGCTTTTTTCGTGCAGTCCAATTATTTTAGGTCCAAGACCGTATCTGCATAATGTCACGGCACGTGCTCAGGCCTTTTGCCTGAATCCAACTGTCAATTTCAGATTCAACTTAGGCCGCGTTTAGTTGCGCCCGGAATCGGCGCCGCCGGAATACCGAAGATACTGTAACATTTCGTTTGTATTTGGTAATAATTGTCTCATCGTTGACTAATTAGGCTCAAAACGTTCGTCTCGCAAAGTACAATCAAAATGTGCAATTAGTTTTTGATTTCGTCGACATTTAGTACTTCATGCATGTACCGCAAGCTTGACGGGGAATCTTCTTTTTGCATAGTGCCAAATTTTAGATTTCGGTGGAACTAAACGTGGCCTTAGCAGTTCCAATGATACATAGACACGAATGAAATGGTAATGTTCTCTTCACCGGCCGTGCTTGTTCCCTAATCTTTCTTAGGCTGTCCCCTGTCATACTTGTTTCCAGGAGCTTGATCAACACTGTTTTTCTTTACGAAATGTCATTTTCTATCACAAATCTGTGCACAAGAACATTTGTCATTTTCTATCACAAATTTGTGCACAAGAACATTCTAAGAGGAATTGCCTGCGTAGAAATATTACAGAGCTAACACTGAACTTCACACCAGCACAATTTGATTCCCATTCAGAAGGCATTTGCGGGAGATCTCAGAAGCATGTGGATTTGTTTTTTTTTTGTCAGGATAAGCAGAAGCCTAAGTACAATTATTGAAAGGGATTATCCTGACAAAAGCCTTGCAGAGTTGCAGGCCAGCTGCTTGGTGGGTGTCTTTCTCTGCCTTTCTTTTTTCTCAGTGTGGGATGGCCTTTTGAGTTGTTAATAATTCTGCGGGATGTGGAAGGTGGGCTGTGGGCGTGGGTCAGCTTCAGCTCAGTCACTGTGTGGGGGATCCGGGCTCTGGATCTGAAGTGTGGTTTCCCTTTTGCTAACCAAACCATTATAGCGTCTCACGCCAGAAAGAATGCGTTTGCGTGTGCTTCTCTGCGTGTGTCCACGGATTATCGACATCTTTAGTTCATGAGGGGTGCTTTTTTGAATCATCTTTTGTCTCCAGATCAATCATCATGTCTACTTTGTCATGACCAACCTATTTTGGAATTTTCCACTCTAGCTTTTCCTTTACTTGACTGACACCGATGATTTGAATAAACTAGTGCCACTCCGAGGTAGAACATCGTGAGCGGTTACCTTGCCAAGTTCAAAAAGAAAATGAAAAACATAGATATTAAAATTCAGTCAAACAGTTATCTTGCCAAATTCAAAAGAAAATATACAAAAGAGTACTGTAGATCGATATTAAGATTCACCGTGTGATCCTCCTTTGGAATGCAGATAAAACGTACTGGTTGCTGATAAACTGGTGATTTGCTTCAGACAATGAGACGACGGAGTTAGGACAAAACTGACCCAGGCCATCCGTTTGCGTTTCGTATATATTCTGACGCACAAGGCAAGGTCTTCACTGATGAACCAAAAGTCCACCTGATGCTTCGTTCATGGCTCCACGCTTATATTCTGATGCAAAGCGACCCTTACGTTCAGGTGTATGTTGACTTTGAACACGCATGCATGTGAAGATCGTGCCCCTAGAATCTTTCGAATACAAAAATTCAATCATGCATGTGTTCTTATTAAGCCACGTTTAGCGCGTCCCGTGTGCATGCATGCACTCCACGAGGCCACACATAATCATGTTAGTTGATTAGGCTAATCAATCAATCATGCCTTCCCGCCAGATTGTCGATCTTAGTGGACGGATGATAGTAGAAAGGAGAAAAGACGTACTTTTTCAGCCAACGAACAATATTTTTCTCTCACAATAAATCAACCAACAGTATTTTCAGACATGGCTTATCAGCCAAATGATCAGAGCAGGATTCCCCAAGATCGGCCCCTGCCCAGACCCGGTTCCATTTCTTAGCAACGAAGCTAGCTATGCATTGTTGGAAGCAAGCTGCGGCGTATATAGGCCTCGCTCTTGCATCACTAGAGAGCTTCCAAATAAAGCGCCTTTTGTAAATGTGCACTGGAAGGCGATAGATGCACACTGCTGTCTCTGAACCGTACCCCACGCATATTCATAACTCATGGACAACAACGAGCCAGGAATTATGCATAAGAGGGACTGGTGGAAGATTTTCAAAATATAAGAATTGAGTATAGCTTATTTGTTTAGGCTCTTATTCTTCTGGATTTATTCTAGTATTTGACGATTTAACCATGCTCGCTATTCTTCACGTAGTAAACGACCGTGTCTATTGACAATGGGGAGCATATGATGACTCATGAATATTGAAATCTACTGGCTTAGTATTTCCGAAGTGCTCATACCCATGGTGGGGCACATGTGATTACTAATGAATATTAAAATCTAATAGCTTAGTATTTTGAGCTCATAATGAAGTAGGATGTGTGTTTGATCATAGGAGTGTGTGCATACGTGCATGTACGTGAGCATCTACATTTAGACCGCGATTCACAATAAAAAGGGATGGGTCACCGAATTGCTATTGCTAGTTAAATACATGTTCAATTCCCATAAAAAAATATACGTTCAATAAAATATGGAGTATAATGAAGCATAAGTATTTTAGTAAACCAAAAAATTTAATAGATACTCCCTATGTCCCTGAATAAATAGATTTCTAGAGTTGTCTTAAGTCAAAAATTTTAAACTTTGACCGAATTTGTAGAAAAAAATATCAAGATTTATGATATCAAACTAGATGCTACAATGATAACGAGCTATTCTTATTTCCCAGAGGTGTAGTTGGTAGCAGTTACACAGGTGTTCCTGTTGGGCACAAACGTGGATCCAAGTACAATACATGCCATTGTTATGGCAACTCTGCCACTCTTTCTCTCATGTAAAGAGTTAAGCCAAGAGGCAACAACAAGCTCCTTGGTGGTAAAGCCCGAGTTCCAGGTAAAAGCCGGAAAAGCAATGATGTCCATGGAAAGCAAAGACATTTGCTAGGCTATGTTGTTAGTTGAAGAAAATCTTTCTCCTCAATTTCATCAAATATTCTGTCTGCATAACAAGACAGCACACAAAGTCATCGCGGCAGAAATATTTCGGAATTTATGCTTCCACCATACTACTTAGTGGCAGTCTCCTTCCTTTCTATGTATCTTTGATAGCTTATAGTATGTGAATTGGTCTATCTAGCATCTGGTTTGTTAGTTGTTACTTAATTTGTACAGAATTTGTACAGATATCTAGTTTTTAGAATACTCAGTCTAGATGTTTTGTTAATTGGTCCACCTCTTTTTCTCTAACTTGTAACCCTGGGTTGCGGTTTAGGAGGTCAAGATCCATATTTAATTCTACAATTCTTTTTGTTATTATCTTCTAGTGCATTGTGGATTGCTATTCATCTGCATCACATTAAACAATTCAGTAATGTTTCTAGCTATGGAGCCCCTTGTTTGGACTTCAGTTTTTAAGTTTTGATTTGTGATGTAGGTGAAGTTAACAAATCTGCATCGTTATCTTTTTTGAGAACATCAAGTGAACCTTAATTTAGAGTATATGTGAAATTTGGCATATATGGAGAGTATTAAGAATACATTACTAGTTAGCTGCATCATACCTAGCAGCAGAAATCTGTACGTAGGCTTCTAAAACTTTCATTATTAGGCTTCTAGCTAGCTGCTACGTGTAGGAGCAGGCTCCCATCGACCTTCAACTTCAATTTGGACAGGTCTGTGTGTCACTCAGCCACTCCACTCTATCTAGTGTGCCGAGACAAGCACGAAAAGCAACGCATGTCAATATGTGATGAAGCTGTTTACATACGGACTTTATACAGGACAGTGGACGCCCCATTAACATATGGACTTTATTTTTATTTTTAATAGTGAGAGTGTGCTTTATCAGTCGGTCGTTTCACTTGTACTCTATGCACCAATGATGGTTGGACACCACGTCCTAAGTTCCTGGCTACGATTTATACAGGCGTTATCATAATTAAGAGGCTTTTCAAGCAATAATTGTAGTGATATTTTTTTTGGCACGGACTGCATTTCACAAGTTCAACATAGTAAATTACCTTATAAATAAAACATAGTAAATTAGACTAGAAAACATAAGGTTGTTATCACTTCTCGAAGAGTCAAACGCTTTTAACTTTGATCAAATATATACAGAAAATATTAATATTTACAGTACATAATCAGTAGTATCATAGGATAGATCGTTGAATCTATTTTTACAATGAACTTATTTGAAGACACAAATGTTGCTAATATTTTTTATAAATCTAGTCAAACTTAAAAATTATTAACGGACACGAATACCATAGCGACATTATTTTGGGACAGAGGTATTAACTACTAACCTATTTTAATTTTTGAATGGAGATTGTTCCCCAAATACGAAACAGGTCTATTGTTATTTACCCAGACAAGGGTGGCATGCTCCTCGAGCGGGAGCACCGTCCACGTTGCCCAAAATATTTTTGGCCATTGGATTTTCGATTGGACGGTCTAGATTTATTAAAGCGGCTTCCCAGCGAAGTAGCTTCTCGTCCTGCTTCTCACCTTATTTTCGGCTTCTCTTCCGCTTCTTTAACTTCTGATCCGAAAACGGTGAAACGAATATATACACGGCTTCTACTTCTCTATCTAGATTATTCTTTACTCTTCCTCTCTCTCACGGTCCGTTTCTCCCTCTCCACGGACGCGGTCACGGACGACGGCGCCGACAGCGCAGGGCGGTGGCGGTGGCAGCGGCCTCCTCCTCTCCACCCACGCCATC